GTCAGACATTTGAGGCGCGCACGGATTGTCCGTCAGACATTTGAGGCGCGCACGGAATGTCCGACATTCAGCGCGGATAAAATCCGCACCGATCGTCCGCTCTCGATCGATCTCTAATAGTCGGACGATCGGTGCGGGTTACATTCTACGCGGTCACACCGGCACGATTTTCATATTTCAGCACACTAAATCCTGGATCCGCGCCTGACTACTACATCTACTACTACTCATCCTACAACTACCACTCTTTATACTACAAGTACTATCTATACTACTACTGCTACTATTACAACTTTTATTACTACTACTTCTATACTACTTCTTCTACTACTACTACTGCTAATACTACTACTACTACTACTACTACTACTACTACTACTACTACTACTACTACTACTTCTACTACTACTACTACTACTACTACTTCTTCTACTACTACTACTGCTATTACTACTACTACTACTACTACTACTACTACTACTACTACTACTCCTACTACTACTTCTTCTATTATTACTACTACTACTACTACTACTACTACTACTACTACTACTTCTTCTACTACTACTACTGCTATTACTACTACTACTACTACTACTACTACTACTACTACTACTACTCCTACTACTACTTCTTCTATTATTACTACTACTACTACTACTACTACTACTACTACTACTACTACTACTACTACCACTGCTACTACTACTACTACTTATACTACTACTTACACTATTACTTATACCATTGCTACTACTCTTACTACGACTGATACAACTTATACTTAGTGGATATAAATGGTATAGGATTTCCCGGCCAAAGTCGGGAGTTTGTCATTCGAATTCATTTACTTTGCATTTAAGTTAGCGCAGATCAGCTTTGCCATGCCAATTATCATTCAATTTGCCCGATTTTGTATTAAATTTAGGATTTGGGACGAAGGATTTCGTAGATTTGTCATTTAATTTAGAAAGTGCTCAACTAGCATTCAAATTCGTCACTTGTCGAGGCGTCATTTTTATCACTCAAATTAACACCTGTCATTCGTGTTCAAAATATTTTTGTTTAAGTTAGGAATGTTGGGGAAAGAAATGCAACACACGTTTACAGTTTAAGAAATGAAAACAAATGCATGACCTGCCATTGGGGTCTATTCTGTTATTCTATTTATTCATTTTTAGGACAATGCATATGGGTGTAGTCAGACATTAAATAAAGAAGGGCCGAAATCAAGGGATATGGCGTTTCTGCACGGACATGTTTATACAGTGGCGGATCCAGGGGGGGGGGGGGGGGGGCCGGGGGCCCATCCCCCCCTTGAGAAAAAAATCATGTAAAAACACGTGATTTTTACCTTTTTTTGGGGGTGGAAATTTTTAAATTTTCGAGGACCAAAAAAAAAATAAATGTGCTCACCACCACAAATAGCGAAAGAAGCACTTTGTTCATTAATTTGAGTGAAACATACATAGATTCTAACGAAAACTGCATAGATTTGAAATCTAGAAAAAGGAATATCAACCCTAAATATATCCGACAGCACTAAAACCGTCGAATTTGAACGCAAGACAAATTAATTTTAATGACAAACTCGCGAATTTTGCCGGGAAATCCTATATTATAAGATGGGTAGAAGAATCCCTGTAATCTGATTGGTTAATTACTGTGTAGTTACTTTTACTGGATGCACCCGATTCCGGGGATCGATACCACCGATATCCCTTTTTTTGTTTTTAATTCTTATAATTTATTTTGATATTTTTTTTTTCTTTCTTAAATAATATTTTTTTAAATTATTTTTTGTTGTTGATAAATAGTTGTTTTTTGATTGATAATTCTTATAATTTGTTCATTCTTTTTTTTTGTCTATATATATTTTTGTCTATATATATTTTTTTTAAATATTTTTTTTTAAATTTAAAAAAAAAATAGAGCTTACAGCTTAATGTACACTGCAGTTAAAAAAAAAATAATAATTTCATGTAATCATGCTTTCCGGTAAGGCTATGTCAAAATCATGCGTCTGGTAATTACCGGAAAGCATGATTTGCCATGCACCCGGTAAATTTGTAAAATAACCGATTTTTGATTTTTTTTTTGACGATTTTTGGGGCCCCATTTTATAAAACAGATGATGCACATGTCTAATTCGTGGGTCGGTGGAATTGTGTGCACGTGGTACCTTTGAATTTGGTCTAAAACCATTCAAAGGTACCTTGTGCACACATTTCCTACCGACGCACTCAAACCTGTGCATCATTTGTATACTTGTAGCCAGGCGCGTACGCAGGATTTTTTCAAGGGGGGGGGGGGGTTTAACATTTATAAATCGGTCCGAAAATTTCGCAACGACTCAGCCAGCCGCTGAATAAGCGGGGGGGGGGGGGGGGGGTGTAAGAGGACACATTTTTTATTTTTTTTGGTCTCGAAATTTGGAAATTTGACATTTTGCTCCGTTGGGGGGGGGGGGGGGGTAAGGTCACCTTTTTTAGGTCGGCCATGGGAACCAAAAGGGGGGGGGGGGGTTTTAGGTTTTTTTTAGGGGGGTTTACACACAAAAAATTTCCAAAGGGGGGGGGGGGGTTTAACCCCCCAAACCCCCCCCCCCCCCCCCTGCGTACGCGCCTGCTTGTAGCTGATATCAACCAAACTTTAACGTTATCTGGTTTCATCCAAATTCACTGGGTGATTTTCTATCCTCCTCTTTTCAGGTCAAAGTACATGTATGGACAGAACATGTTCATACAACAGCGCCATCTAGGCTTTCATAGACATAGGTGTGTACCTCGCATCCAGCATGCTTTTCATTCTAGCGTCCCTTTATCAACGTATTTTTGCCTAGGATCTTTATGTGATGATGGAACTGTACAGAGAGTAAGATGAAACCCCTGAACAGTAGGTGTGTATACGAAAAGGTCTAGAGGTACCATCGGCTCTGTTTTCGCCTACAAACTGACGACTCAGTTTGAAAATGATTTGTCGTGACGGTTAAAGGTATAGACCGGTTTTGGAAACGCCACTTTAAAAAAAAAAGGAAATGGAAGCTTTTATTACCAATCATGTGAAAGAATATGTTTTGACTAATACGTGATGATACAAATTTTGCGCCTTGAGCATTTGACCATCAAGTGGATTTGGCGCCTTATAAATCATATGTATTATCATTATTATTAAACCGCCTACTATTGATATATTTGGTAAATTATCATATCGATCCGGCCTTGATAGATATCGCGTAGTCCCATATACATCTTTCTGTGTACAGTGCTTGTAAATTTACCAAGGCTGGGACAAATGTCTTATCATTTTGATGATTCCAGAACCTTGCAGTACACACCAATACTCATGTGCTAGCTGATCAACCCTTTCTCATCGATTCCACAACGTTTCTTTCACAATGATCGCATGACCAGAACTGGTCTATACCTTTAAGATCGGTCCCCATATACGTATCTGATCGTATCAGGACAATTACCCTCTTCACAAACACCCCCGGGAAAATAGCCCCCCCCCCCGAAGACAATTACCTCCCGGGAAAATACATCCCCCAGGACAAACACCCTCGATGACAATTACCCCCTAGAAAATTACCCATTAAGATAATAACCCACCGAGGACAATTACCCCCCCCCCATGAACAATTGCCTCTAAGACGATTTCAAAAATAAAAAATATCATCATATGACACCCCCCCCCCCCCACATACATACGGGGTGTGATTGTCCAAGAGGGTAATTTCCGGAGGTTCATTGTTAATTGCATGACTTCAGGGGGTAATTGTCCTAGAATCGTATCTGATAATGTCTGATTGGTTCATAGACAGAAACAGGCACAGGCACATCCAAAACACCGACCACCCTCCCCACACACACACTTACACACAAGTTCTCTCTCTCTCTCTCTCTCTCCCTCTCTCTTAAAAGAACCACACGTATTAAGTATTAGAAGGCGCAATTAATATTGAGAGATCTATAGTATAGTTATACATTATAGGATCAAATAGTCAGAAAACATAATATTTGTCAATATCAGTTTTATCAATTTATTGTATCTGCATGATTATACCTGCCAATTATACGTTTTTGCAGTAGTGTATGAATCGTAAGTACATCATTATATCATGATCGAATAGACTTTAAAAAGAAAATATAAGGGAACTCCAATATTCTTAAACATCACCATTTAAAACGTGCGAACATAACAATGACGTATTGCATTTTCCGAACATGAATTGTAGGGGCAATGCAATAATGCATTGAATTTTGCCCTCAGGATGATTTCCTGCAAGTCTTCGCGTATTGTAGTTGTCTTCTAGGTGATTTGATGACAAACATTGGAATCGTGTTTGATTATATACTTATAATATTCATAATCGACCAATTTTCTTAAGTAAACAATTGAGCTATTAATAGCTCTGTATCACTATCTCTTTCTCTCTCTTTATCTTTTACCCTTTTTTGTTGTTATTACGTCTATTGCTATTCTCTCTTTACCCTCAATATCCCCTTTCCTCTGTATGTCTGTCTGACTCTCTTTTTTCTTCTCTCTTTCACACACGCAGCACACATTTCATTGTCTTTCTTGTCATTCTCCGTTGGTTTCTTGGTATTAAGGTTACCCTTCTTTATGATTCTAGTCCCTCTTCTATCTCTTTTCCATTACTCCTTTTCTATAATATTTGTGTAATCCATTCTTTTTGCTGAACGCCTAAATTTGTCTACAAGATTTATAAACCAGTCGTAGTTTTCAAATAAATAAATAACAGGGTTACAGAATACATAGCACCTCTTTGTAAAGAATAGACCTTTTAAACAATACGAGTGTGATCAAAGGCTTGCAAATAACATTACTCTTTTTAGTCACAAAATTTGCACCTCAGCCTGGAGGCTGAATAACACATCGTTTTTCTTGGAAACGACCTATGCTATAATATTGCGTGTAATTGTTTTACAATAAATTATTCTTTGCTGCAAAAACGAAAAAGGTGATTTAAAAAAAAAAATCCGTGAACTCTTTCAATTGAAATTGGATGTAAAAACAGAATCAATTCTGATAAGCCTTACATTCATAACATCACGAATTTATACATGTATGTTCATTCCAAACCACATTCAGATAGGTAATATATCATTCATTTTCTTGTTATATCCTAGTTCCCTTACAAGTTTCTCCCACATTATTTTTTGTCCATAATTATCTTCTGACCATCGATAATACGGTTTGTTCTTACTGAGAAACAACCTTACAAGATATGGTAAACGCCCATCAGGAATGTCTTCCTTGAATATTAAAATTACCTTCTCTAGCTCGACCTCATTCATTTGGTCAACCGCGAGACGGAGTTTGCTGATGAACGAGTGATTGTCTACGGCTCTATTGCTCACGATCAGGATGCTTTTATAACTTTGCTCGAAGACTTCGGCGATGGCCTCAATGTAGTACATTCCAAGCGGAAGGTCGTCATCCCCGCACACGATCCTGTCGAAATCAGGTAGTCGTTCCTCGAGTCCAGGTTTCAATATTCCCCTAACCCACTGTTCGTCATCATCGTCGAAAGCGAGGTTGATATCGTACTCGTAATCGAACCTCTCTCGTCCGTCGTGGTCGTCCCGTCTGCCAAGAAATACTAATTTCAGATGGAATAATTTGTAATTGATCAACCATCTCCTTTGATAAGCCACAACACAGACCATGATACAGGTGACAATGACAAAGATCGTGATGATGTAGACCCAGACTTTAGGTCCACAGACCTCGGTGGGATCAAATGTAATAATGGGCTGATTCTTAAAGGGTGCTAGAGAAACATCTGAACAGTTCGTTTGGTCAGGATGGATGATAGATACTTCGGCTTTGTTAATCCAATTTATAAACCATGTAAACTCACAGTTACAACTGAAAGGATTGCTGGAGACATCCAGTGTTTGTCTAGGTAGAACTGTACCCTCTTTGACAGTGGTTAGATGGTTGTGTGATATATATAGATATGACAGGTGTGGGTTATTTGTGAACACGTCTGAAGCTAAGCCTTTGATCTCGTTGCTTTTTATGGACACACCGACTAACGACCTGAGATCAGCCAGGTGTCGAGATGTCAGTTCTGCGATGTGATTTACATCAATGGAAAGGTGCTGTAACGATGTCAGATTCAGAAAAATGTCCTCATTTAGGGACGTGATGTCAGAATTATCCATTTCAAGATTTTGTAGGTTTTGGAGACCTTGAAATGTTCCCGGTTTTAGCCTGTCAAGTTTGTTTCCTTTGAGGTAGAGACGTTCTAACGTTGATAGAGCGGACAGCACCGGAAGATCTTCAGTATGGGAGTCCCAGAAGCTGGAAAGTGTTAGCCCTGATCCCCGCATCCTCAATCTTTTAAGATTGGACAACCCTGTAAAGAGTTCATACGATAATGCGACTGACGTATAGGACATGTCCAGTATTGTAAGCTCATTCAGATTCGTGAACGGACTATGCAACTGACCCAAATAAGACAAATAAGACAAACTCAGAATCTGAAGACGGTCAATGGATGCAAAAGCTCCATTTTCAATTGTCGTTAATAATCGGTTGTTGGATATATCGAGAGTTGTGAGGTTTGCCATTCCATAAAAGGAGTTCTTGTCAATGCGAACAAGTCGGTTCTGCGATATGTCCAGGAATTTTAAATTTCGCAGATCCCATCCCCCGCGCTGTGGTCGGAGATCAGTTATTCTGCACCTTGCTAAATTAAGAGAGGTTAGTGATGTTATATCATCAAACTGCTTTGGACTCAGCTCCGTGAACCAATTACTCGATAGTATCAAGGATTGAAGTCGCAGGCTAAACAAAAACATATCTTTGGTGACATAGGAAAGATGGTTTCCCGTCAAGTCGACAATTTCCAGTGACTCGAGTCCTTCAAATGAATCATTATGCAACGTGTCTATGCGACTCTGGTGGATGTCAAGTCTGATAAGATTTCCCAAACCCCAGAAAGCACGAGGGGGAATGGAAGGGATACGATTGCTCTGTAAGTCCAGGTAGGTCAAGTTAGGAATCGCGTATGTCTGATTTGGTAGAGGGGCTAGCGGTTCAATCACTGTAATAACGTTTACTGCGACATCAAGAGTTTCCAATGAAGACATTCCCAGAAACGGATGGAGGCTAAAATTGCTGATCTGATTGCCCGTTAGACGCATCTCTCGCACGCCCTCAAGATGTTGGAACAAACCATTCTGTAGTGAGGTGAGGTTGTTTTTGATGAATGATATCAGGTCAATTCTTGTCTCCTTGAGGGGAAGAAAATCGTCTTCGTGTAAGGACGAGAAATTATTTGTTGATAATACAAGTGAAGTCATGTTTCTGCTTCTCCATCCTGTAAAGTTTAGGCTGGACAACAAATTCTTTCCCAAACGCAGATGAGTCAACGAAGACACAGAATTCAATGCGCTTCCAGGGAAACTAACAAATCGATTTGCTGTGAGATCAACAATTTGCAGATTTTGATTCCTTGAGAAAATATTAGTCGGTAGATATGTGAAATTGTTATTTGTGAGCGAGATTGAACAAAGCTCAAGCAATGCTTGAAAGGCACCCGACTCGATGGTACTTATATTGTTCGACTTGAGATATAGGTACCTCAAATGAGGAAGGCTACTGAAAGATGTGTTAGTCAATTTGGTCAGTTGGTTATAAGCGAGATTTAACACGGTGATATCATCAGTGAGGTTAGCAGGTACCGCGGTTAGGTTGCGGTGTGAACAAATGGCTTTCAAACCTTCGCTGGTTGGTTCATAATGACACGGTACCCCTCTTAAATCTGCAGCATCTGCTCCAGTGTGTCCTATGGAATCCATCATTAATGAAGATGCTAGCATAAAGGTAATCCACAACCGTCCAATGCTCTCCATTGCATTCATCCACTTTTTTATCACTGTGTCATCAAACACTGTTCCTTTTTAAAGTAATAATTACCTTTCCAAAACTGGTCGTGATTTCCACTCAATCAAAATCAATTAAAGGAGGGTGTATCATTTAGTTTTGTAAACTCTAGAAATGACAATGGCATCGTCCTTAGTGCCTCAAACATTGCCATGCGTTCAGTCCCAAAGTAGTTGACCAGGAAACTAAAAATTCGTTGTACCGCTGTGATTCATTCGATCATAAGGGAATGTCAGCTTGTTGCCTTCCACCTTGATGGCCGAGAAGAACACTGAATTCTGGTCGAAAAGGATGTTGTTCGATCGTTTTCAAGTTTGTGTGTTCATCTATGGTCACGTCACGATCTGTAGAAACAAAAATCTGAGAATAAGATACATGTACAAATCATACTAAAACACACCCACGTACTTTTGTTTGGTGAACAGTCTCATGAAACTATATGCATGTCTCAATATTTCAAGTGGCTCCTATTTATACAAAAAGTACTTCCGCATTTATTATCGTAGGACTGCAGTCCAGTTTCGATCCCTATTTTTAAATAATTTTGCACAAAAATATTATGTCTCACACACCAATGCTAATTCTAATGCTAAATTTTAAGGAGGAAGTTATAACAAGTCGCAATATCTGCAATCGCTGTTTGAGAAAGTTGACAGTTGGAAATGCTAGACTATAACAGATTAATTGTGGTAAAATGAAATGTCAGTATTTCATCGATTACTCTGTCAAGTAGTTAGAAATGTCATGATATGTTTTTTTTTGCTTTGTATAATTGTAGATCGACATATTATACCCTTTAATTATTTATCCCGATAAAGAAAAAGAAGCTTCTAATTCATGAGTGTGATTAACAGTAGAATGTTATTTAAAATGAATAACCTTTTCAATGACACTATGCCAGGATGAGATTCAGAATCGCATTAAATTGCATAACTGAAATTCTCACATGGATCCCTTCCCAATAAGATTCTCAAAGCATTGTCAATTCATCTTTGTAAGGGTGATCGTTGTAGTAAGTAGTTGTTTGTCTTCGTTTCATTTCCTGTCACTATTATACAATCCCTGGTAAGATATCCATCCCTAAACGAATATTTAAATAATACAGTCCCGTCAACGTAGACACCTAGACTGCACCATATGTTCAGTATTGTTTGGTATTATTTAGGATACGGTTTCTAACGTGATCTTCAGGTAGAGACCACAATGGAGGGCGATTATATCTGGTCAACAAGTATTATCTGTTAATACTTGAAGTGGCCGTTGTTCGCAACTGCACAATATACATTTAGATATACGTACCGTATATATATTTAAATGGAACCGGAGATGACTAGGCTTGTGATGTATGCACAGTGGCGTATCCAGAAAATTAATGAACAAGGGACGGAATATCCTCCACAAGAGAGGGGAATGCCCCTTGGCTTTTCCACTTTACACATAAAAACTGCAAGAATTATGTCCCGCATTCAAATCTTTCTTTCGGCCGATTCCAAATCTGCCTATTGGCTAATAACAAATAAAAGTTGTTATCCTTGTAGGTAAATTGTTAAAACCGAAACGATTTTTTTCCTTTTACTTTGAAAAAAAAAAATCCCATTCAGCTAATAGCGAAGCCCTTGACTATGGACAGCCTATAACATCACTAGTTCTCACTAAAAAATACTTTCAATCAGCAATAAACAATGCCGATCGACACATTGTGCCATTTACGAATCCGTAATTATATCATACACAATTTCAGAGACTTTCCACTTATAATGACTTTATCGTAACCGCACTTTGTTTCGTAGTTGAATATATCTGAATACTATTTTCCCTCGTCCTGCAGCGATTATGGATGAAAGTGTTCTTTTAATATTTCATGCCATACCCCCACGATGTCACAAGGCATTGTACAGAAGAAGACACGTAGAACAAAAGGAAGTAGTTTATAGAGCAGAACAAATAAACTCCGATCTCTCTCTCTCTTTCTCTCTCTCTCTCTATTTATTTTTCTCTGTCCACCCCCTCTGTCCCTATAATACATCTATGTCCATGCGTGTGCGTATGCGGGTGTGTGTATGTATGTGTGTTGTTCTGATGTACGTATGCGTGTTTATGTTGATTATCATTAATGATACTATTTAACGTGGAAGATGAATTCTTCAATAAAAATAACATTTATATTATTTAATATTCCTCTCAGCCCCACCCCACTTGACTTCTAACATTTAAGAAATTTACGACTAATAGACATTTAACAATCAACGGTCTCCTCGGTCCCTATCCGTATCTACCAATTAAACCATGTTTAATCCCAAATATTGATGGAAATGATTGAGTCATGCTTGTATGTATCATGCACCCTGCCCATGTATCATTGCTGCTCTCCAAGACATTTGTCTAGGTTCAATGGATTACAAAAATAAATTTTACGAAAGTAATCACATGCATTTCTTTCTAAGTAAATATTATCTCGATTTTAGAACGCACCCAAGGAAACTTCACATCATGAACAATAATAATAAGAAGAATCCGCGCGTCTAAGAAAAATATGCTCACGTATCAGTTAAGGCCTATTCTTGATATTCATAATCCAAATGTGAATAGGGAACTGACACCCTAAATTGATTTAGACAGCAGATATTGTTATAATTACTGGTGCTTTATAGTTCTAATGTACGAAATCTTATTTTCCATAAAAGAAAAGTTATTTATGTTTTATGTGTTTATAAACATCAGATCATTCAATTTCTTTTTACGAAAGACAATATTTTTCTTCTGCGTTTACTCTTGCAAATTATATATTGCAAGATATTGTTACAGTTGATAGAGCCGACACTGTAGTTTCTTACTTATTAACAAAAACAATAGATTACTGCTGATAAATATTCCGTGTATACAAATATAAGTTTATTCATTTTTTTATAAGAACGTTTTAGTCGAGTGGTTTGAATACTATACCGAGTGACGTAGATCGTTGGCAAAAGTCTAATTCTTGAATAAGGCAGTTTATTCTATATTACCTGTCTGTCGAAGTAGACCATAATCGACTCTATGGGCTGCGAATGACCGGCACCATCTTGTATTGCAGTGCAATTCTTATAAACATATGACCAATCGTCTGTTTCAATCATAAAGAAAATAGGAGACCCAAAGCAAGTGTCTACGATGAAGATTAATGTAGGTTAATGGGTTTGCTAACAAAAGTTTAAAATTTATAGATTTGCATCGGAAGATGTTTATTTCTTCAAGGAGGAAAGTTTCAGGCTCATATTGCTCTTGTTCATGTTGGTTTCGATTTCATATTGACCGCGGTTCTTTAATTAGATTTCATACTGATCTCAGTGTAAAATGTTTAGTATAACATTATATGCGTACACTTACATCAATTAAGATTTATTAACATTTTTGACCTCATATCTCTCTGAGATAAATGTTAATAAAAGCAGCACTGAAGTAAACCAATTTTATTTCCATAGCATATATCACATTATAGAACGTGTCTAAAGTATGTGCTTCTAAAGGCCTATCGGGTCATTAAATAATTTACACAATCTTTTGTATTGGCTCTATGTATGCTTTCAACATGTTCGACAAAAGATACTCATGCGAGTGAATAATTAACACTAAATACATATAATTTATAAATCAATATATGAATAGAACTAATCCTGTTATCTGAGAGATAGATTTTAATAACAGAAGCACACACCGCAATATGGTTTTGATAATAGCTATACAATTTGTGTTTGTGTTAACTCTAAAAATACGGCCTAAATTCGTGTAAATTAATGTAAACGAGATAATGAAGTCTTGAAGGCCAATATCTCTATAATATCTTTTTTGTATCAATTAATTAATTTTTTATTTTTTCTATATTTATTGCGTTACATCGACTGACGGGTAATAATAAGCCCTATATATGTATTGATGTAAGTGTGAATGTGAGATATATCTGAATGAGCAAATTTGTTTATTGTTATTGTTAAGTGATTTAAATATCACTTTGCTACGTTCATTTACATCGATGAATAGATAAGTATTAATAGTTTTAATACATATTAAGGTTTATGTAAACATGTAATGAAACTGTAGATCGGTTATTTGGCTGGGATAATAATTGTATCGTGGAATGTGTTGAATTTAGTAATATGCCTTGAATTTATACACATATTACGAGTTAAAAATTGACACTAATTACGAATTGATGTTGATGCCAACATATAGATGTAACTATTGACCGGGGGGGGGGGGGTGTTTCACAAAGATCCTAAGTCGAACGTTACTCTAAGTTGGACTTAACAAATATGGAGAGCCATTTGTAGCCTTAAAGGGATAGTTAAGTTCTATTGCAGAGGGCGCTACACAAAATAACTTTCTTGTGAGATAATGAAAGACTGAGTGTCAAATTTGAAAGAACATAATATTTAAATGACAAAATTATCTTTGTTTGATCGAAATTGGTTCAGAGACGGCTGAAATATAACGATTTCTAATACTTGTGTACCACCACAAATATTAGGTATTTTGAAAGAGTTGAAAAAACCGTTGAAAAAAACAAAATAACGCCTTTTACGTCGTATTTCAGCCAATGCCGATTTGGTTTTGGGGGTTGGCATTTTCGTGTTGCTTACATTATGCACAACCAGCCGGCCCATGTATTGTTATTTTTAATTAAATTATTAATTAACGGTCACCGTGTTTTTTTAAAAAGTGGAGCTGAATTGGTATACTCGTATTGGCTAAATTTTACACATTTTGCGGTCTAAAATTACCTTCATAGAAATTTTAGGTTCTAAAAGGGCACTATAAATGTCAAAGATAAGAATAAGAGCAATAACCCTTGACTTTGAAGGCATTTGCAGTCTGAAAACAGAACTCAACTATCCTTTCAAATTAAATATTAAAGCGAAAAATCAAGTACTTTAGAATTTTTTTTAATTCCA